CCAAACCAGGACCCATGTGCACCAAATCCTCTCGTACGACAGATAGTAACCTTTCTTCCCCTGGAGCTAAACAAAGGATCATGTACAGACACTTCACCTTACACATCCAAATGTAACAAAGTAAATTATGGGAAAGGATATGCCACTTTCCAAAGCAGGCTATCTCTGCCTCCAAGCAGTAGGCCTTAGCACAAAGGTGTTGGAGACTGGCCCTGGAGCACTGAGTGGTGACTCTATATTATTGACATAGATATTGCTGACATGATTCAGCACCCTGTTAATCATACTGTCAATCATGTTCTGGAAGTCCATATGGGAGGTGCCCTGCACCCTGGGCAAATTTTAAATTTTTAAACCCAACACCCTCAAGCACTTGTGCCATTTTCCTTTCCACTGGTGCAAGTGTGCTCACTCAGCACCCGGCCACATTCTTTATTATCCATAGGAAACTAAAAACCCATCCAGGACCCCATTATCCACCTCATTACCCCATTACCCACCAGGAATGTCCAAACACCAAAGTCACCCAGCCATGGCAGCAGATAAACTTTTTCTGAAAATCTTCTCAGGTGGCCAAAATACAAAAAGAGCTCTGTACAAGATACTCTCTGAGGTATTATTCAACATAAGATAATAGGATACTGGAGATGCCATATTTTAGGGGAATCCTCACCTCTAGGAAGAAGGTAGCCTTTAAAGACATTGAATATTGTTATGGAGGAAAAAAAAAGAGCAAGATGCTAAATTGTACCCTATTACAACACACTATCCATCCACCCATCCACCCATCCATCCAAAATCCCCCAAAGAATCTTCCAAAGTAGGAACAGGGGGCTGAGAGACTGTGATCCTTTCCTTCCCTATATATACTACTGTCCCTCCAAATCCATGGGAGATTGTTCCCAGGACCCTCAATACCAAAATCCATAGATGCTGCAGTCCTTTATTTAAAATGGCAAAGTATTTGTATATAACCTATGCACATCCTCCCTTATGCTCTACATCGTCTCTAGATGACATACAACTAATATAATGTAAATGCTATGTGAAGTTACACTGTATTGTTTAGGAAATAATGAGAAAATACTTTCGATCAAGGTGAGCTGACTTTGTGGATGCGGTGTAGATACAGGCCAGCTATCTACACTTCATATATTGTGGTTACATTGTTACCTATAATGAACTAGAATTCATTTAAACATCCAAAATGCTTCCTTCTCAATGCTAATGGGGTCAAAGTGTATTTTTAGAAAAAGTTCATTTCTAACTTCAGACTACAAGATGTGCAGAGGGCTTTGGAGCCTAAGATTCTCCTTTACTTACATAACAAGTAGTAAGCTTTCGCCTCAAGAAAGACCTACACTTGAGTCTGCTACAGCAGTTTTCTTCTCTGGTGGGAATGTAAGAGAGCAGCAAGCCCGCCGCGCTGGGAGCAGTGGCTTCAGCGTGATGCCCTGGGATGAATCCGACGGAGAACAGGAAGCGGCAGCCCAGGACTCCCCCAGCTTAGCTGTGCATCACACAGCCACTCCTCGCAGGTAACACCAGCCTCATTTAAGCAGATCCAGAGCTTCCTTACTTTGCACTATTACATGATTTGATCAATTTCCTATTATATCTTCTCACTAAAAAGCAGTCAGGCATAACTGACTATTTTAAAAACATGTAGCTAGAATTGTTTTTAAAGATTTTTTTTTTTTTTTTTTTTGTCCTTTTGAGACAGGGTTTCACTGTGTAGTGCAGGCTGGCCTGAACTCACTTTATAGCCCAGACTGGTCTGGAACTCACAGTGATCCTCCTGCCTCAGCCTTTCCAAGTGGTAGGATTACAGGCATGTGCCAGCACACTTGGCCTAAGAATGTTTTTTAAAGGACAAAAATCCATTGTCTGGATTAGTAAGACATGACACTCAGGGTATAATTAATGGTAAACTAAATGCATTTGAAAATATCCGACAACAGATATTTAAGCTGCATCAGTAACAAGCCAGCCCCTGGTTTGACTGGCCCTATGGTTTCCGGTTGAAGATTTATACCCACTGGCTCACCCCTACTTCCTTACAAAACACCAAACATAACTTGAAGCATAAGAAAACTAATGCAAGAACTTTCTTTCTCTTCTTTTTGTTCAGTACTGGGCATTATACACTCAACTGTATCCCCAACCACTCCCCCACTCCCTTTTTTCTTAAAATTTGAGATGGTCTTGATAAATTGCCCAGACTGGGTTTGAATTTGCAATCCTCCTGCCTCAGCCTACCAGAGTGCTGGGTGCCACCACCAAGAAGTACTTCTACTAGAAATCATACAGAGTAGATTGTTGTAATTTGATCCATTACAATGTGATCTTGGCATTTTCACTGCGCTTATAGCAAGTTAGACTAAGCAGATTTGCTATGAGCTTTTGCTTTGCAAGTGAAAGAAGAGAAATATTCTTCTCAAGGGTTCTCAAAATAACATGGGGTCCACGTAGGTGAGTGGCAGCTGGGTGCAGTCACGGTAACCAACAGATGCCCACCTGGTTCCCGGTCGCATGGCGCATAAGCTCCTTTGCAGATTATAGCACTTTGCACAGCAGTAATGCGGTCTAATCCCCAGGGCAGGTGTCTGGCCAGGCCCAGGGAGGCCAGCACCTTGGTTCCCGACAGAAAGCACAGAGGAGACCTTACTTATCAGGTGCTGAGGTGGAGCCTCTTAGCTAATATCCAGTGGACAGGAGCCCTGCAGGTGTATTCTCTTCCTGGAGAAAGGCAGGACCTTAGCAATGGGGGGATGCACCTGAAAGCCTGTTGATCCCCTTAATGTAAGAGACAGGGTATGGCAACCCTCTGACTCACTTGTGTATGTTTGATTCCATGAACACACTGGAATTACTCAGTGGAGATAACCACAAAGAAAAATCTAGGCCTCCGGGTGATCCCTCAAGGGCACAGGAAGGAGGCAAAATGTAACTGTCATTAACCTCGAGTCAAACACCTTAACAAATGGTGCTAAGTCAAAGTGTGCTATCAAGGATGGGCCCTGCACCTGCAGTCTGGGGAAAGCAAACCACGTATCCACCCTTGGATCGAGTCAGGCCCAGACCGGAGAACTTTGTAAAGTAGGATGTGGCAGAGGGCCGGCAGGAAGGAGACTCAGACAGACTTGTGCCCACAGGGCCTCGGCACCTGATCAGCAGCCCATGAAGGGTTTCTTCTTCCCCATCCTGTTCTCAAACCTATCAAAGACGACATCGCACCCTTACTGCCAGGGTCTGCCTTAGGGACTGCCTCATGATCTGTGCTGTGTGACAACTGGCCCTCGGCTACAAATACGTGTTGGGGTGCTGGGGCCCATGCTGGCTCAGAACAGCAGTGCCAGCCAAGGGATGCTGCCTTCTGGAAACAAGGTGTGCATTAGCAGTGCCTGCTAGCACCATCTGCTCCACAAGACAAGGCGGTCCTGGTTCCCCCTGGGCAGGGTTCCTGTACGCCCAACAACCTCAGGAAGTTGGCTGGCCTGCCTCCGCACACACCTCCGCAGAGCCAATCGAGCCGCAGCTTCTGCCTTGCAGCTCAAGAGGCTGTCAGGGGCTCCACCAAGGTGTGCACACCTAAGACACCTAAGACCTCCTTTATGTATGTAAATTTTAAAAAATGCTATCTAATCTATACAGAATTCACACACACACACACACACACACACACACACACACACACACACACAGCTTCCCTGCAAGGTGGCACATAAACCCGAGGCTGTATGTGCTAAAAGCAGCCGAGCTCAAGGGGGGAAGGGATTATTTCCGGGCCCTGGGTGAGGGCCATAGATCGCAGGCCATTGGATAATGGCAGATGCAATGGAGAAGCCAGATGAGAGCCCTTGCTGGGAGGCTGAAGAGGTAGGGAAGGCAGAATGGGAACCAGAATTCCCAAACACACAGGGGACGACCGGGAACAACAGGCCCAGGCCTGCCCTCCAGGGCTCTCACGAGGGTGATGTCACTGCACAGGCAGAGGACTCAGCCCAACTAACCCCATCTACACAGGAGGGGTCCAAAACGGCACTGGGGTAGACGGTGGGAGTTTGCGTTCCAGAGTCAAAGCACTGGGGGAAAGCAGGTACCTGAGCAGCAGAGACGAAAGCCCCACATCTGGGAGCCAGTCTGGCGAGGGTGCCTGCAGGGAATAAGGGCGTGGAGGCGTGGCCAGGCTGAGGGGGGTCTGGGTGCCAGGAGGACTACGGAGCCCACGCTCCAGCAGGAGGGCTCTGGAGTGATGGGAGGCAAGCGGACCGGAGGCCAGCAAGCAGCAAGGAGCTGGGAGAAGAGCCCAAGAGCTCCAGGGGCGGTGGTGTTCCAGACACCAGCACCACATCCGGAAGAGGACTGCAGGGAAGGAAATGGTGAGTTTAACCACGAGCCACCAACACGCTGGGTGGACACTTAGCTCAACGGGGCTGTTGCTTGCAACCTGTCCTTGCAAATCCCCACAGTCTGCTGTTACGATGAATAGAATTTATGTGACTTTGCCATCAAATGTGGATTATGCTCATCTTTACTGGAGAATAAAAATGACTGCTCTTTTCTAAGAAAAGTAAACAATCCCACAGAGTATATGGCAATTAGGCAGAATTACAGCAATTCTTTCTGTGAGCACAATGTCATTATGCTGGGACTTAACTGTCATTACACTGTAAATACCTCTCCCAGGAGCGTAACTCTCGTCCACAAAAGCTTGCTGTCTTGGCATCAGAGATCACGCTACTTTTTAAGAGTTATTATTACTTTTTGCTTTTGGATCATGTAGTAAAACCCTGAGAACATTTGCACACAGAGCACTATATGGGTCACTAGTTAAAGTACAGATCTCTTGGGCCCAGGAACGTGTGAGAATCTGTACCAAGCAGCCAGACAAGGGCCTGGACTGGCTTGGAGGCCTCTGCTTTCCACAGCCGGAGTCAGCAAGCTGATGAACAAACAAAAGACAACTTCACTACAGGAAAAAATAAAGGAAGAGCCACTTCAAAGTCAGTTTTGAATATAATTCTTCTGATAAAACAGGAATAACGAGACAAAATGGTTCTGCAAAGTACAATAAAAAAATACTGTCCACTGGTTTATTTTTCCAAATGAGCAACAGGCTATTTACAAATAAGCTGATCTCCAATGATGTGTATTAAAATGGCAAGTCTATCAACTGTTTGATATCTAAATGAAAAAACAATTTATTAAGGCACATTTGATCTGTGAGTTGAAAACAAACATTCCGGTGTAATGACAGATTCATTTCACTTTTGTCCCCAAAACACATGAGCACCAAAATTGTCCAAGAACACTTAATATTTTAGTAAAATAGGAATGTGAAAATTAAGGAGGGGGAAAAGTACTTTCAAAAGGAAATCTTTGGAGATTGGTGTACTGCAAGTAAAACATACTAACCACACTCCTGGTACATATAAATACTACTAACGGGTACTCAGAAATGCCGGCGTTCTAAACCATGGATATTAAATAAATTAAAGGTATTTCAGATACAAGGGATAAAACAAAACAACAATTAAAGAATGAAGTAACTATCTCCACCAATTTAACACAGACAAGATGAAGCGAACAAAACCAAGTGTGTCTTCCCCAATGCTTTCATCAGGGTGTTTTCATTTGTTTAGCCTGCATACATTAGGATTATTACACTAATTCTTCTTTTGTCATTCTAAATATTAATATTTTACCCTCTACAGAGAAGAGTCAGGGAGAGAGGAAAAAGCCCAATCCTTCTTGGAATTCCCACCAGGTCTGTCTGGGCCAAAGGAACTGCATGAAGAACCACCAGTCTTGCTGTGCTTTCCTCATACCCCTTGCTCACAGAAACCTTTGACCTTGATGGGTAGAGCAAAGTTTAGGGGAAACAATCAACTTTGGAAAACTTCCTGAAGATGATGATACCGTATTAACACATTTCCTTTCTTACAAATGGAATACAAATTGTTTTTTTTTTTAAAAAAAGCTGTTGTTAAAAACAAAATTTAAAAAAAAAACCAAAGGTAGAATCTGGAAGGTTAACAGTCACAATAGAACATTTACCAGCGTTACAGTGTTTTTGTCACAATAATACTTTGAAGGAATGTTTACGTTTTCTGCCATAGGACTGTAGAGAAGGAGTCTGGGAAAAAATGTAAAAAAACCCCAAAAGTTTTGTTCATCAGGTATGTTTCAAGTCAGACACTAGCAAGTCTGCTACATAATGTTTAGCAATAAGATGTGTTCAAAGGCAAACACTGATCACATTTTTTGTTCAAAAAGCTCAATCTTGAAGGAGTCCTATGTAAGAAAACCACTTGGAAAATATATCCTTGGACTTCAAAAAATGGATCATACAAAAAATTTTTGAAAAATAAATTAGATAATTAAAAATGTCTTTTCCAGCAAAGCTGGACATTAGGCCGTCCTCATGGAGCCATTATTATTGCTGCTTTTACTGTAACTTGGATCGTTTTTTTCTAGCCACATCTCAGCCAACTGCTGCGTAGACCCATATGTGGATGCTTTGGAGCCCAAGCACATTTTGTACTGTTTGGGATCCAGATTGGGGTCGCAGAAGACTGGGTGATGGACGTGGACTACTCCTACTTCTTGGCTCCTGAATGTCTTCAGACCTGCCTGGACAACCTTGTTGAAGAGGTCCACATCCTCCAGCCCCCACCCCTGGATGGAAACATCAAAGCCACCCACTCGGACAAGGTCTCCTTTATAAATACAAGTAATGCCAAACCCATAGTTTCTCCAGAAGCCAGTTTTTTGAGTAAAGGCAAAATGGTTGTCACTGGGAACCTTCCCACTATAAACAATCTTTGGATCATACTGGCTAAAGATGATGGGGAAATATATTTGTTGGCCCAGAACCGTATTTGCTCGACACCGTTGCAGGAATTCTGTAGTAAACACAAGGTCAACATCACAGAAGAAGAGTAGAGATTCATTATTAAACTGAGAAGATCCTACTTCAAGGGCCAGAGCTCTTGAAAACTCTCCAGACACAGGCAAAATCTGCATGTCAGCTTTTGGATACTTGACGCGATAATCTCTCATCAGTTCAACTTGCTTGGCCTTGTCAGGGTTGGAGTCAGAATTGAAAAGCAGAACGACAAGCTTGACATTCTGATTTGGAATGAGACATGTCTTCTCAAAGTTTCCCATAAATCTCACAAACATGTCAAAACGTCCAGACAAAGGAATTAGGATATTTATTTTCTTATCTTTGGGCTCTTTGTGCTCGTTCTTGGACCCTGGGAGCTGGAAGGGAACAAGCTTCTTCAGGGAATTGGAGAGAAAAGACAGGGAGCCAGAGTCTTGATTGATCCTGTTGGCCAGCTCCTGTGCGTCCAGCTCCTCATGTTCCATGAACTGGATCTTGCTGAAGGTCTGCTGCAGGTACGCGTGCCTTCTTACAGGCACCGTCATCTTCTTCCCTTTGTGCTTCTTGTAGAGGAGCAGCAGGTCTAGGATGTACTCTGCCCCATACATGGGGTTCACCCGCCGGTAGCCGTACTGGATCTCCTTGAAGTCAATGATGCGCCCTCGCGTCTTGGCATTGGCGTTGATCATCTCCATCACCTGCATGACGATGTCATCCAAAGCTTCCCTCTGTGCAGAGTCCATTCCTCTCCGGGGGGGCTGGCCATCGGCAGCTGAATACAAGTATTTTCCAGTCAGAAACTCCCACTCCAGAATCTCCTCCCGCTGGCGGGCCTGAAAGCGCATAAAGGAAGGGGGGATGCCCAACTGCAGGTCTTCCTTGTGGATCTCTGTATTGCTGTATTTGCTCATCAGGACGATTTCTCGGTGGAGCTGGATTGTGCGATGCCTCAGCTCGGCGATTTTGCGACTAAGCATGTAGCTGTGCAGTCTGTACTGGTAGGGTGGGTTCTTGTTGGGATGTAATGTGATAGCTCGGTGAATCTTACTGTTATGGAGATCTCTAATGTACCCCTTCTTGTTCTGTTCATAATTCTCATAAAAAAGCTGCTGCATCTGTAAAGGAAAAATATTGCTAATATTACTATTTAAATACCACATGGCTGAATGTCTCCCATTCTTACTGTTCCTTACACATCTATTCACTCTACAGACAAAATCTAAATATTAGAAATCTCTCTAGTTGAGCCATAGCACACAAAAGCTCTAGATAAAGCACAACCAACAGTGGCCCAATGATACTAAAAGTTAACAGACCTTAACTACTTAAAGAAACATGACTTCATCCAGCAGCAGAGTTGACCAATACAATTCTATAGGCAGAATTATGAAAAAGTTTTTCAAAAACAAGAGGCATAAACTTGAGATCAGAGTGTAACAGTTGAGAATACTGAAAAACAATAGGACATCCAGGTTCCTACGAATGGCCTGAGTGCTGAGGGTCCAAGGCCAAAGTCCACAGGAATGGGCTTCCTGTGCTTGCCCAACAGTCTCTGGGAGCTTAGAAAATGGAGCCTATCAGAGGCCAGGGGCTGGGGCAGTGCCGCCCTTGTGGTGAAACAAAAGTTTTGGGGGCCTCTGGAAATGAGCACAAGTCGAGCACACTTCTCCATATGTGCTGCTTGCTCAGCAAGGGCTCTCCAGGACTCAGGTGGGGCCTGGAGGTTCAGAAAACACCGGCGAAGTGGAAGGGCAAGGACATACAGGACCTGTGGCTCTACTCCACTCTTCCCTTCCGTCCTTACTCGTGCATCTGGGGGAACATAAGCTTGATGGGCAGCAGCCTACAGGCGTCTGTTCCTTCAGTTAGGAAAGGAAGAAGTTTAGTTCTTCTTGACACTCAGTTAAGGAGATGAATGTTTACAATGCTTTCTGGAATGGAGAATGAAAGTTTGAAAAAATCTACTGAAAATAACACAAAGTTGGTCAGGTAAGTTAGTCCTTTTTTCTTTTTCTTTTGTGGTTCATGGTTTTGTTTTTTACTCACAGTGTTGTATACTGTGGATAAGAGTAATATGGATTGGGGGGACTCACTTATTTGCCTCTGAAGAGCCATTTGTGTACTCCCTGCAATTACCGTAGTACAAAAATACAGATTAGTATACCCCATCTTCTTTTTCTATGCAATACTGTAAGCTACAAATGAATAAAAACAGTGGGAAAAAGAAGGGGGACTACTTCCAAAGAATGGCTTAAAACGAAGAGTTGTGTGCCAGCTCCAGACATGGTCGCTGACCCCAGCGCCAATGAAGCCTGGTGTGCATGGAATCAGAATGGTACTGCCATGCCCTCCAAAGTGTGCCACCACTTCTGACTCGGCTTCCCATATCACTTACAATCCATGTGAGTATACACATACACTAATCCGCTGAAATCATGTCAAATTTTACACTTAGTTACAAAAGGAGGGTTTTTTTTTTTTAAGGATATCATGGAATATAGCTCACAATGAGCCCGTGTTATGAGGAATTCCTTGTACCTCTTTCACTACCCACTGTTGACTACAGAGAAACTTTGGACTTTACTTTAAAGACTAAAGCCAAGCAGCCAGCAGGCCTGCAGGGGGTAGGAAGAGCCTGGGAGGTTGGTAGCTGAAGGTGACTGATAAAAGCACAACTAAGATATGTGTCTGGCAGCAAAGTTTAGATGACCACACAACTTGTCTTCCTTTGACTTTGTTCCTTAAGGATCACAACAAAAGATGCTGAACGGACTCCCTGCCCCAGTGAATTTCCTGTTCACTCTCCAACTGGGGCAGCTGATGGGTGCAAACCGCAGAGCTACAAAGTGGTAACTGATTTAAAAAAAACCACGAAGGGGGCTTCGGAAAGTTATTTGCAGGGGCTGGGGATGTGGCCAGTTCTTGCCTTGCATGCACGAGGCCCTGCGTTCAATCCCCGGAACCACCAGAAAAAAGTTCTTTGCAGGTGCTAAAACTGTGGAACAAGTACAGCCCTTTCACATCCTGTGAATACCGAAATGAACAGCAGGCCTGTACACACCCACTCCCAGACTCGGGGAAGCCCGTCCTCCCGTATTCAGGAACCAAGTACCTGTGTGAGCCGCCAGAAACTGCGCTGCCTCCACCAGAGGCACTACCTGGGTAAAGGTGCTTCATGCAGAGAAGTCAGCATTAACCAACATGTCCCATGCTTGGGGACTAACGAGGCCATAGGTAGTCATATGATGGGAAGCTACAGGTGGGGTGTGTGTGCATAACTTTATTTCCATTTCATCTGCCTATAATTTCCAATGAATGTGAAGAACTATAAAATTTTCTGAAAGCACCTCCCCCTCTCTCCAGTGACAGCAGCCCAAGGCAGGCGCCGCTCCTCACCCTGCCCCGCATACAGCTCATGCCGCTGATCCATCTGGTTATGAATCTCAGACTCCCTTTCCCTCTGACCCCACTCGGTCTTTTTCGTGAAGCTGCAGCAAAAATGTCAGTTTGCGAATATAAACTGGAGAAATCTGGCTAAGATAAGGGTGGACAAAAGTCACATGATTTTCTATCTTCCCAAATTATCTCTAAAGAGAGAATGACAAAATATAATAACAGCAATAAATCCACAAAGGCCAACAGAATGGAACAAGAAGCGACACAGCACGTAAGAGATGCCCTCAAATCCTCATGAAGTAGAGAGCGGTGAAGGAAGGAAGAAAGATGAAATTTAACAGGCAGCTCTGAGAGACAGAGACAGACAAGAAAGCCAACTCTCTGTGAGAGCCCAAGAAAGACGCTGGGTGTGAGGTACAGGACAAGGCCCAGTGCTGAACACGGACACTGCAGGAGTCAGAAATACAGGACAGTGAGAGCCCCAAGGTCCCTTCCCCACAAAATCACAGCCACCATGGGGTGGGTAACATCCGCATCTTCAAAGACATGTTCCAAGTTATTCTGCCACCTAGATGGTGCAGCCTCTGTCCAAATGCATGGAGGATTGTCTACCAATTGTAACTAAACCAAAAACTGGCGAGTAACATAAAGATTTCAATATTTACGCTTCCATCATTTACAGTAGTTATTTCTGATTGCAATTGTCTACAGGTTATTTTCCCCACTCCTCTGGAGCTATTGCCTTGCTAAGCACATAACTCTGAATGAAGTTCAGTGCTCCAGAAATTAAACATGAATGCCTAATGGAGACGAGATTGAATGGCAACGGAAGGAATGAAAATCTTGGTAGATGTTAGCAGGACACCAGCCCTCATCTCCCACTTGCTGCCCAGCACACATATCCTCACTCCTCACCCCAACAGGAACCTGGACAGTCTTTCCTGGATCAGTCGTCCCACACATCTAAAGGCCTTATTAACAAAAAGTCATCCAAAATGTTGGACACTAGTGAATACACTTGTTTTTAAAAACTCGGATACAGAACCCACAGGCAGGTTTTCAAAGCTTCACCTACAAAAGAGGATCAACAGCCAAGGATCAGGCAGCTGAAAAGGGGTTCCAGTGGGAAAGACAGAGACAAAACAAAGAAACAGAGAGCGTGGCACAAACAGAAACAATACAGTGAACAGAAGAAAACCTCAACAACCAAACTAAAAACAAAACTAGTATATTCAAAGGAAGACACTATATTGATGTAATAAAAATAGAATACCACAAAAAAGAAAAGCAGAAAACAAAACAGAACTCTTACTGTTAGGAAAAAGAAAGAAAAGAAACGAAGATATGAGCTCAACAGGACAGGTTTATTTCACAACAGACCTGACAGGGACCACTCTGGAACTGAGACCAAAGCAGACCCTCTCGTACAGGTTATGGGGGTCTTTACAGAGTCATGAGATGAGGGGTGGTTCAGTGAAAGGAGGCTGTGGCTACCTGCTAAGAACAAGGCTTGATAAAGGGGAATGGCGGCCCAAGGATGAGGTCTGGCAGCATGCAGGGAGGTGTAGTTGTTATCAGTAGTAGGCTGATAGTAATATGAGTCACTAGGTGCAGCTGTGCTGGGAACAGGAGTTTAGAGGGGTCTCTGGTCAGGCTACGATGGTGGCGGTCAGCCTACTCCACTTATAATTAAACATGAAATAGCAACACAAAAAGGGAAAAGTAGCATTTCAAAGTACAGTTAAAGATCACCCAGGAAACAGAAAAAACAACAGACAAAACAAAAAACAGACAACAGAAGAGAAACAATACTCTTCTAAAAAGAGAAAGTTGGGGCTGGGGATTTAGCTCAGTGGCACAGCACCTGCCTGGCAAGCATGAGGTCGTGAGTTTGATTCCCGGTGCCGGAAAAAAATAAATAAATAAATAAATAAATAGAGAAAGTACATGGGAGAGGAAAAAACTATAAAAAAATGGATGTAGAATTGCAGAACCCAAGTGCCTGGACTAAAACACTAAGTACTCAGTATGAAGAATATAAATTCAGAATATCAAGTAAAATAGTCTAAAGAGGCCCAAAGAAGAAAGGAATATACAAACAATCAGAAACTGGAATGGTACTGGACACAGACAAAACTACTGGAAGCTAAAGAACAAATGCCTCTAAAAGAGGAAGTGAAATTATCTTCAGTGTAGAATTCTCTTCCCCACCAAACTATCCACCAGGGAGGAAAGGAGAAGAGAGAGATTTTCAGACATTCCAGGGCTCAGATTTACCTTCAATCTCTTAGGAAGCTACTGGAGGATGTAACCACTAAAGCGAGGGGATAAATCTGGGAAGACGACGACACCAGGTCCAAGCCACAAGGGGTACCACCCAGAATGACTAAGCAAGTAAGTCTCATGAGAAGCACCTCAAGGCTGGCAGCAGGAACCAGCCTTCATCTCCAGAGTCCAGCTCTGGGCCCGACCTCTTTCTTACAGGGTACATCTGACAGATCACTGATGAAGTGGTGAGCCTTTCAGCAAACAAAGTACTGAAAATTATTGAATTATTTCAATATTAAACAGCTGATGATGCATCATATAGTATACATGTTACATAACAAATACACAGGGACAAGGCTGGGTCCTCTCACCAGGGTCTATTTTCATATGTAAAAATGAGTAATGCATTTAAAGAAAAATATATACCTTTCCAATCAAAAGATGTGGCTAT